AACATGTGAGTTTGTTAATTTTAGTTGAAGGTAATCTTTGAATCCAGTTATCTGATTTGTTATAATTTATAATAAAGTAAATGTCATTAACTAATCCTGGTTGACTGACTCATGGCTGTATAGTCATTCAATCTAGTATGAAAGAAATGACGCAGAATGTATTTTGCCTCAAAAACGTTTGACATTTGATGTCTATACTCAGTATTTTATTGCAGTTCCCTTCATTTTCAGTGTTGTGTGTGGAACAGCTGTGCAGTATGATTGCAAACCATCAACTGAAATATTTGCAACGTTTGTGTTCCTAATTCTTAGATGCACATTTAGCAGAACCCGATATTCAGTCACTAAAAATGTCATTTTTAGCTGGTTGATTTGCCAAGCATCCAATGTCTGATTGTAATTTTTTTATTGCACCCAAATGAATCTTGTGTTATCAGAATATAGTCACAGTGTCACATCTTTATATACATGTATGGAGTCTGTATACACAAACTGTGTTTTACTGAGGTATTCTATTTATAAGATCTAGAGGAACAATTCTTTATGTGATACATGCAAGAGGGTGTTGCAAGTGCAATTTGTACTTCATGCTGTGATGGTAGTTCCCAGCCCTGTCACTGTAATGGACACCTTGTATCATTTTCTCCCCACTGGTCCAATTCTGTTTTTTTAATATTACAGCTGCCCATGAGATTGTTTTTATTAATGTGTAATTAATTCACTCCCCCATTTCTCACTATCAAATAAAATACATATATAACTGAGTGTGCAGTAAAAAAAATAGCCATGTTATAAAATTGATTTCTTAATCAAACTGTTCGTGTTGCTTTGTTGGTACTGCACTCCAATTTTGGGGTTCAGTGGTTGATAGGTGTAAGTGAATATCATACAGTTCCTGTATTTTGATTTTACATGAAACATCTGGGAAAGAGCCTACTGTGGGGAATGACATTAAATATTTCAGTTCTTTTCACATGCAACTAAGTGTGATAAGTTGGATTTGAGGTTCTCGCAGCAGTGACTGTGAAGAGTAAGGTGTTCTGAGTTGTAATGCCTTGTAATTCAGAGACAGGGAACATATCCATCTTCAAGGTTGAAGAGTAAACCAAACAAGACACCTTCAGAAGGAGGTGGTAGTTTGCTTGGCTTACTTTCTGGCCCTGAAGATTTCTAATTTCTTGAGATATGCTGTCATCAGCCACTGTAAGGTCATAGAGTAGTCAGAGAAGTTCAAATGCACCCTTATGAAGACATTCTAGCAAATGTAATTTCATAGTCATAGCATCCACTTTATCTTAATTATTAAAAAGAGTTGCACCTTTCCCTTGTATGCCCAAATTTAGGCTGTTCAGATATGTAAAAATGTCAGACAGATGTATCACCATATCTAACCATAAAAATCATTTGAAGACTTGCTGCTTTGAAATATTTTATTGCAGAGATATATTTGTTTCTGCTCAAGAACCACTGGACAGATTCTGATGAATTTTGGTATGGACATTATGCCATTGGAGTCTACCCCAAACTCACCTGTTTTAATTTCCTACAATCTGTAATACCAACATGGTGGATGCATGAACATACAAGGTAGGAGAAATGGTAGTGCCAGTTACTATTGAGCCCTGAAATTCTATATGGAAACTGATCTTTAAAAAATGTGCTACTTTTGTTGTTATATTGTTTTATATAACAAAATGGCCACTATGTGAAATCTATATTAACTTTTGGTTTTATAGCCAACTACTGAACCGTTAGAATTCAGGATACAAAATTTGATAAGGAGATCATACACATCCCACCTATTACATATTAAATACTTTTTCTAAATCAGCATTTGAAGAGATGGTGACAGTGTGAATAATCTTTGTTGTTATGTATGACATTCAGCAGGGAGCAGTATAAATATTTTACACTAGTTTTAAGCCTACTTAATGATGTTAACATGTTGCATGATATCTATTTGCAACAGTGAGGGGCATTCAGCATCCAGTGGTGCAAAGAATGCTGTGAAAACTGTGTATTCCAGCACAGATTACACCTTTTCTTTGTTGTTGTATAAATAGGATAAGTGTGATTTTTTGGAGCCTTTTCAAATTCTGAAAATAGCTCATAGACTTACATTGTATTATGTGATTTGAGGTTCTCACAGCAGTGATTGAAGATGCTGTCTTCTGGAATGATGCCATAGTTTAGTGAGTAGGTACCCATCTACCAAACTGCAGGATGTCACATCCCAGATGACTGAATTCTTCCTCAGTACTATCTTTGTAGACCCCAGGATGAGAATCACTATGCTTAACTGACACAGTAAGTGTTGCATAGAAGAAACCTCCATGAATTGTTTCTGGTATAAACATGTAGCAGTATTTGGCTTCTTCAACAAACTAATTGGCCACTTTATTTTTTCCCCATTTTTTTTTTTTTTGGAGGGGGTTTTCGTCCCGCAGAAGGTTTCCCCCTCAAGAAAAACCAAGAACTGGAAATCTTAGTACTGTGAAAACAGATAAAAGCAGAACTTTTTAGGCTGTTTTGCTTAGGTATATAAACAGATGCATACACGATTCCCTTTGAATGCATTAAAATTGTCAGACATGCCATGCAATTTTTAAAAATGAGCTGCAGAGTATCAGGTCAAAATTGGCATGGAATTGAATTATCATGTTTTGTCTTTATATTGTAATTGACTTACCTTGTAAGAAAATGTTTACACCTCAACCAGATGTGCAAGAATAAATTATGAGTCAGTGCCCATGAATTGAAAGTTGGACTAATTAAAATGACAGTAATGTGAAGGTATTTGTATCCTGACCTTAGGAAAGAATATGAATTGACCATGCTCTTCAGCATATCTGGCTATATGAAGGCAGAAACATTTTCCTATTAAAGAACTTACAAGTGGAATGTAAAAATGAATTATACATCTCTGTTGAAATAAATATGTGTATTATAAACTGGATACTCTTTTCCTCACAGGGAACATGATACAAAATTGTAGAATATTGACCTTACAAAACTTTGTTGTATATAAAATAAAATTACTTCTTAATAATGTAAATTGAATGGTGGTGAAAGGTTGTGAAATTAAAGACTAGGGTTACTCACTACTTTCTTCTTCCTCTTTATTTCTTTTCTTCCTTCCTTCTAAAAATGTTATTGCTGGTAATCTTAGTGCTCAGTTTTGGCCTGAAAGTCAAAACATATTGTCATGTGTTGGGTATGTCATGCGACAAATAACTTAACATGGGTCTCGGATTTAGTGAACCTTTATTGTGCTTCACTTATACACTCACACGTTTTACAATTATTATCACTTGCAGTATCACAATTACTGCTTCCACTATATCTCGGCCAATACTATACTGCTTTCGGCAGCGGCCTTCTGAAGACTGACTTCTTGCTGTCTTCTTGTTGGCTTATGTAGGTGTTCTGCGGACTGGATACCAGACATCATTCCTCACGGTTTCATTTCTACTGTCCGCTGTTACGTAATGGGCCTTCTGTTGTCCATCTCTGGGGAAATGCGTTCGTTGTTTTGGCATTGTCTACACAACGGCTCACTGTTATTGCTTTATCATAGAAGTGCCTGTTCCAAACACGTTACAATATATTGCGCACAGCATATGTGCAACGCTTAATGGAAATTAGCTGATATGCATACAAGATGAAAACAAGTGTTATCATCATTACATACCAAACAGAGTTTTAATACTTCTTTTTAAAAATAATTTTAGAATTGTTAAGTGCAACAGTCCTAGCTGGCTTTGATATGCTGAGTGATCTTGTTTGACTGGATATTATAATTAATTTAAAAGTGGAACTTCTTAAAATCTAATGCACTTGGCATATATCATGACAACACACTGGCTTCATTTCTGTGAGGATCATCAGAGTTAGATATCTGAGTTGTTTACAAAAGCAAACAGTATATGTTCTTATTTATTAATTTATTATGCATTGTTTACAAGCAGAGAAGGCATACTGAGGTCATGTGTGGCCTGTCTGTCTGTGACTCATATCACTTTTTACAAGTTTCGCCATACTCTGTATCCGATTTGGCCCTTCTAAAGCATCATAGCTTTATCTAGTGAGAGTTCCTGTTCAAGTTTATGAAGTGTTCCAAAACTCTCCTTATGATGTAGATTCTATTTGCTTCATCACTGTAGTGCCAGGAATTGGAAGCTTCCATCTGTTTCTGCTTATCGGTTTTCCCATAATCGAGGTTTCAGTGAGAGTGGATAATTTATTAGTCCCACAATGTCATTTTCCACATGGCTTATTTATATTATAGCGGCTATAAAAGTTTTCATTTTCTCTACAGAAATATCTCTCCATGATGGGGATTCTGGAGAGATCTTATGTTTAGCTGAATGCTGTCTGTGGTACAGATTAGACTGGTCAGCAACCAAGATGAAGAGCTGATCCTCTAGAAATCAACCAGCTGCCTCAGGAATACTTTGGTATTATTTTACAAATATGTGAGACCTCTGACACAGTATTTACATCTTTGTCATGCTCAGATTCACTTCAACTCTCCACTAAATAAGGTCTCTTTTATATCTCTGTTGATGAACAAGGATCAAAATCATTGTTGCTATCACTAGAAGGATTGTTAACTTCATCCACCCAATCATTTGGCCTATCAGCATCATTAGATCACTAGTATGTAGAACACAAAAAACTATACGTTCACAAAATATACTGTGCTGAAGAAGGATCTGCATGGCTTCCAAATTTATACTTGCTGGCATCACTACAGTTTAAAAAAGTAAAATATTCACTCTTGTTGCAGCCATGCGTGGGTGCGCACATGCATATTAATGCAAGTCAATGTGCATTATGCACAGTGCTCTTCTTGCAGGTTGAATGTTTCCAGTGCTGCTACATCAGCCACTGAGAGCAGGTGCATTCACAGTGATAACAGGATTCAAGGAGAAGTGGAAGGTAATGGTGATCAAAATTGATTGGTATTTGCAGCTGTATAAGGAATGTAAACCCTACAATCTGAATAAATATTGCAAACCTTTTTATTAGGCACAAAGATACCTTCCTACTTATACACATGGCTGAAGCATATTTCTTTCCTTTCATGATATAAGTATAACAAAAATACATTTACAGTTTAAAAAATTGCATATAAAACTTTGAGTGAATTGATAAGTTTTATTTTTTGACCAAAGTAATGTAATTACAATACATGCTTCTTTAATAATACAAAAACAAAATATCTGACACCTGATGGTGTCTAATCAATGAAGTAATGGTTCTCACAGCACCATATTTTTACTTATTTTACAGATCAATTTCCCATAATCACATTTTGTAACAAAAGAGCACTGATATGCTACTTTTGTTCTTTTCTCTGAATTATTTGGTGGATTTAAACCACTTTGGAATCTTATTACTGGGAGCTCCATTTTCTCTCTGTGGAACCTGGATAGATGAACTAGGTCCACTGTCTATATTCATTGGTTGTTCAACTTCTGATGTCTTCCCTTCCAGATGTGAAATACTTCCAGACTGACTGAGATGTGCTGGGGTAGAGAAACTAGCTGCAGGCACTCCTGGCTCGATTGCCCTGACCAAAATATCCACGAATTAGGAAAATATGTGTAGATTCCTTTACAGACTCTCATATACCGCCTGAACTATCTGTAACCAGGCTTTAAAGAGTAATACCCCCCTCCCCACAAAAAAAGGCATCACATCTGTAATTTAGTTCTTGTGCAAAATATTTAAGATTTTATCAGTCATTTCTCTGTAATGTCATCAGATTTAAAAAAGGTAAATTTTCAATATTTTCTCAAGAATTTAAATATGTTTGATGTACCTGTTTTGCATATATTCTATACAAGTCATTTCTAATATGGATTTGCCCCTCTATCACAACTAACACAGCAGAATGTAGTCAAATTAAATATTCTCTACCATGCCTAACATAATAAGATGTACTGTATGAAATGACCTTTTAATTAACTGGTGTGACAGCATCAGATGCTTGACATGGTAAAGGGTAAAAAGGTACAGCCATCCCTGTAACAGGCCATGAAGACCCATAGGGTTGCGAGATGTCGAGGCTCCCACATTTTCTCTAGACATTCATCTCACTGATAGTGGCAAGGTTGTCAGCCTTACGTGCCGGCCGCCCTTAACCCCCAGGAAGATTCCTGGTACTCTTTTTTGTTAAAGGCTGAGTCGACCCCAAGGCCATTGTGTGGCTTAAAGGAATAGGTAAACTGAAAAAATCCACCCCATTGGGACTCAAACCCGAGACCTTCTGGCTTGTAGCATAGTGCCTCGACCAACTATGCTACCACACATGCCCCTATGGTAAAGGGTGACAGAGAAAATGTCTAAAGAGCAGAGGTTGATCCTCGTTTGTTCATCCCTAATCTTCATATTCTGTATACTGTTCACATTCTAACTATTCAGTGTAATAAAAATTCTGAATGAAAGTACGTATGTATACAATTGAAGTATAGTTTAATTATATAATGTTCTTTACTTAAAGCTTTTCCCTCACTTAAGATTAACATTCTTCAGTTCCAGCCTTGAACACCTGACTTCACTGAACAATATGTCCTTACACCAAGAAATGGGGGATTATTGGTCATGATTTCAAATTATATCTCACCTGGATTGACAAGCTGCAAGTGTGGCAGCACTGGGAGAAGTAAACTGAGTAAGTATTGCTTCTCGTAGGTACGTTTTACTGTCAAAACTTGCATGGTTCTTCGTTCCAAAATGTACAATAGTATTTGGTACGCATCCAGCCTCAATGAGCCTCATTTCAGGTGTTAAAATATTTTTTGGAGGAGTGGTATCTGTACAATTTTAGGACAAAGAATAATAAAATATTACTCCAATGGGGACGAGTTTTACAGACTGTAATATAAGGGGAATTAACTCATGCTATAGATTCAAAATTCAAATAAAATAACCAGAGTTCTTCAAATTTTCCCATAATGCTTAACTCCTTCATTCTGCAAACTCAATTTGGACAATACGAGAAAAGACACTCTTTCGTTATAGATGTGATTTGTTCCCTTCATACGAATTCACAGCTTTCCAGACTTAGGCCTGATTCACAGTGAGAAATGTCTGCAGAACAAAGCACTTTACAAACATACAAGTGGCACAGTATTTTTAGACCAAACCCATGAATCTATTTCAACAAAGTGAACATTCTTTATAATGTCTAAGCCACTCTAACACATGATCAGACAAAACTTCTTTTCTTACAATGATCCTGTTTAGATTAAAAAGCAAAATCCAATGTGTACGAACAGATTATATTTTTATACTCACAGAGGTGGAATTCAATATCTGGGTTTTCCAGATGGCCTCGAATGAAGTTCATGACTGCTTTAATAGTTTCAAGGGGGAAAAAAGTCCCCTGAAGAACTGTGCGGTCAGGAAAATGGATTCGGATTACAGTTTGACGATATTGGTTCAATTGTGACAACACTCGTTTAGATTCTTCTAGACTCCTCTGTGCATTTGTAACAAAAGGTGCCTCTTCCATCTCATCTCTGTTAACAAACATTAAAAATCATAAAATCATCTTCATGGTATTGTAATTGTGTAGTTAATTGAGATAAAAATAACAGGAATAAAATAAAATAAAATAACAGGAAGAAAGGGATGATGTGGTATGATAATGTTCATGTATTACAATACAATATTTATGTTGTTATATTGCCATCATGAAGATAACATCTTTAATTAACTTACATTACAAACATAACTGATGTGGGACCATACTATTGACAGAACAGAAAAAATGAAACAGTTGTAACAAGCTTTCAAAGTTGCCTGAGTTCAAGTCTCAACACTTTGTAACTTCATGCTGCTTTCATTTCCCCTGTCTGGGTCTCCCTTATCAGCATATTCTTCATGGGTTTCTGTCAGATTTTAGTCCCAAGAATTCAGTTCTTTATTCCACTAGTAGCAGGCAAAAATGGTATAACAGCATTCTCCAGTTAATGCTATGGATTGGTTTTCATGGACTTGGTCTGTTGCATAAAATTTCCACCTCCTTTTCTATCTTACTTTCAGGTCTCTGCATGCATTGTCACAATATTTATTGTATATTTTTCCTGTTATCTCCCACTGAGAAGGTCTGTAGTTATACTGGCATAGGTTGTCCATTTATAGTGGTTAGCGCTTTCAAAGGGACACAAGAGAGTAGGTTTCCCCCTTCCCCCACCTCAGAATGAAAACAGAAACAGTTTCTGAAACATTGTGTTCTCTGGTGTTTATAATACCAGACAATGGACAAAGTCCAAAAACCCAGTAATTCCAAGTGTTATACACCATCATCAGAACCCTTTAGAATCTAATGACATATTTTTAAAAATTTGGTCTTCTGGGTTGTGACATCATAAGGGTTGAAGTGTGTAGGTTCAGGAACTGGCTTGGTTATATAGGCAGGGTACAAGGAAGGTCATGTGACCCACGGGGAGGGGGCAAAGAAATGTGCTTGATCTGGGCCAATGGGATACAATGTCACATCCCAGAAGACCAGAGTCTGAACCTAGCACAAAATCCGTTGATTATAAATGTTGATAGCAGTAATGTTTGCAAATGAAATTCAGATACAATGAACATAAATATTATATTGAAAGAGGGGAATGTGCTGATCAGCCAACAATTATAAAAAACAAGAAACAGCAACATAAGCAAGGAATGTCTGACATCATACTGTTACCATGCAGTCTTAAAATAAATGACAGTATAAACTCTACCTGACATGTTCACATCCAAAACATTTATTCAACTACAGAACTGTTTCATATGATATAAAACATTTTAACATGTGCTAATCAACAGACAGTAACAAGCAACTGAAACACACTTTTCATCCTTTATATCTCTGTACATAAAATATGTAAAAGTAAAAAAAAAAAGTAAAGCTATCCCTGTAACAGGCCATGAAGGCCCATAGGGTTGCGAGACGTTGAGGGTCCCACATTATCTAGACAATCGGTTCAAACATGGCGGTAAGGTTGTCAGCCTTATGCGACGGCCGCGCTTTACTCCCCAGGAAAATTATTTAATTCCTGGTACTCATTTCTGTTAGAGGCTGAGTGAACCCCAGGGCCATAGTGCGGCCAGAAGGATTAGGTCAATTGAAAAAAATCCAATGACCTCATCAGTATTTCAACCTGCAACCTTCTGACTTGTAGCATAGTGCCTTAACCACTACGCCACCACGTGCCCCCACACAAAATATATACAATTCATAAATCTGTTCCTTTATTGCTACATTACTGACAACAACTCTCACCTCCTCCTTTTTAGGTCTCTGTAAATGGCTCGTGCATCTTCCAGTGTCAGTTCAAAGAAATCATCAGGCAGATCTTCAAAAGGTACAGCATGAGCCATCTCAAGACTGAAAGCAATGGCATTCCTTTCCCCAAGCTGCAAAGAAAGTCACAGAAACAGTTCTACTTGCTTCATGTAACCACAGTAACAATAATAGGCGATTATAAAACATGGAATTCTTCATTATGTGATTTCTCCATGTGCCCCTCAGTCCAATTAACATAATAGCTTACCAGTATTACTTCTTCATTAGATTCTTTGCATTCTGGCAGTGGAGCAATAGTGGCCTTAGAACTTCCTGCTGCTAACTCATTCCTTTCTACAGAAACACTTTCAAGTGAGTCAATGTCCATTCCTTCTTTCTGCTGTGCCGAGACTTTGCTTACAGAAAGTGGAGAAGATATGCTGCCTGTCGGTACTGCTGTACTAGAGTTTGGGTTTTGATTTCCATTGCCATGTATATCTACTGCACTTCCACTTGCACCTGATGATGGGAGTACAGGAATACAGGCAAATGTAGAAGATTGAAGCAGATCACTTCCTGCCACTGAACTGTGGCCTGGATCCAGCAGAGAGGACTTTCTACTGGAAGCGTGTTCTGGAGGGTCATTTGATTCTGGTTCATGTTCTTGTGGAACGTTTGAAACAGATTTTTTAGGCAGAGGCCCAGAAACATTAGCCTGATGATGCAGTTCTTCGGGTGTACGATGAACAAACCTTTCAACACAAGTGAGATTATAATAATTACTCAAAACCATAAGGAGAAAAGTGTCAATTTATATAGGATACATCTGTCAATCATTTCTAACACAATACACATCAGTTTTTTATTTACAGACTTGTCATAATTGTAACCACCTGCAAACCACCCACAGAACATGCAGACACACAAAGTCAATACTGCAATAATGGACGAGATAGGAAACACAAAAGACAGTGCATAAATTACAGAATACAGACACCACCAGCAGGGTTCTAAGGAACCAAAAAGGAAACATAATAATCAAGTAAGATTTGAGGCTTTCACGGCGGTGACTATGAAGAAAGCAGTCTTCTGGGCTTTGGCGCCGTGTATATGTGGTGTTAACCGACGTTTCGGAGGAACGTATCGCCCCCATCTTCAGGGTTGAAGAAAAAGTATANGGTTAACACCACATATACACGGCGCCAAAGCCCAGAAGACTGCTTTCTTCATAATAATCAAGAGGTTGTAAAAATGCATTTTAACAATATTTTAATTAAATAAATTCTGAAATCACTGTACAATTAATTTTACCTTTGAAGTATTCATTAGAAGGCATCTGTGCATCAATTTACACAATAAACTATACAATATACAGGAACCAGAAGATGACTGTAGTTGTTGAAACAGGTTCTAATAAATCAGTGAAGAATTATATAACACATTAGGAAATCAGAAGCTGCTGTGTTATATTAAAAGTGGCTAACAGATATAAGGTAGAGACAATATACAATGGGATTCTGCAATATAGAATAATGATATTAACTCAATAACATGCTCTTGAAACTGGAAGTTTCCCACATTTGGGTAACTCTAAATTCTTTATTAGACATGAGATGGATGAAAGCAGAAATAGTTCACATATTGGCCAAGACAGTATATACTGTATGTCCACAAACAGAAGGCAAGGCAGCTACAGCAGCTACAGTGTGTGTACTGTACAAAATAATAATGTCAGTCTCATTCTAAGACTACTACATTTGTAAAACGTAATTTAACACAATATCAAGATAGCAGAATTAAAGGAAAATAAAACTGTAAGCTTTATTCATTTTGACTGAATAGGTCAGATGTCCAGTGATGACTGGAACACAAATTGTTGCAATGTCAAGTTCAAGCAGCTTCCATGTTTATTACATCAGACATCCTATGGCAGCATTTATTTTGAGTGCTTTCCATGCTACTGTGATGCTTTGTAAATCTACATATAAAAGAATTGATCTTTTTCATGTAAGAATAACAAACGTTATGATGATAAGAGTCTGGTTAACCCATGCCAGTGCCATAGGTGGGATGCATCATATATCTGTGCAAAATAAGGAAATTATAAAGTTTAAAATCTATTTATAATAATAATTGGACAGATTAGTAATCACAAGCTGTGACAGCCCAGTCAGTACTGGCTATGGACTGGATGATAAAGGTTTGTTCCCCAACAGAGGACATAAATCAACTCTCCTCCATAGCATCCATACTGGCTCTGGGCCCCTCCAACCTTCTGTCCAATGGGTACCATGGTTCTTTCTGTGATGGTAAAACAGCCAGAGGATGAAGATGATCACTCATATCCATCTAGTGATGAGATAAGAAAGAATGGATCTTTCCCTCCACTTTCCCATATGCAATCATGGTGTGGAGCTTAGTTACAACCAAACAATAGGGCAAGTTTGCATCCATTTTTACGTGACAGGTTACCAATCATTGGGAAACAAAAAAAATGGCAGAGTATTCTTGACAAAAAGAATATATAATTATTACCTAAGCATGGCTCTACCACCAGTGAGCCCAAGACTACGAAGAGTTGTCCCTTCAAGAGCCTTCACCCCAGATACTTCTCTGCGCATATAAATAATGACCGGATGTGAGTCAAGATCAGCCTCACTGGGGCATAACTTTTTTATCACATTCCATAATGATTCTGAAAGTGCATAAGTATTAAATATTAACCACTGACCTACAATGACATTTCTGAGTAAGAACTTTTGACTGCCACTCATATTTTCCACTACAGGTACATAAATAACCATCCAGGAAGATTAATATACTGCAGAGATAGAATTTTGAAACATGAAAGATGCCAATCTTTAATAGTCCACACCATTTCCAATACCCTTTTAGATGAAGACAGCAATATGACGATCATTCTCAATCAGGGACCCCATGGAGGAAATAATACTTGCCATTTGTTATCTGAAGCATTTTCATACAGCACCATAAATTAACCCATGTATAAAGAAAAGCACAGCCAGTATGAACTATTTTATTATTTATTTAGTATCTAGATTTACTCTTTTGTACACATCCTCAGGTAGCAGAAATTTAAAATACTGTGGCGGACAGACATGTTGCTTAGCAGAGATCTTGAAACAGATGAGTGCAGCCACCACTATGCAACAGGTGGATAAACAAACACTCATTCTTATGCAACAGCTCAATAAACACGTCCCCATGGCAACAGATATGCATGCAATGATCGAGGCATTGTTGGACTATAACAATGGAAATGGTGTCTTCTATGTGGTTTGTGCTGATATGTTATAAGCAGGGTCAGCTGAATTCTGGAACCTATGTGGAGGCGGGGTCGAATACCTCCACCGTGACCCTGTGAGTTGTAGGTGGCAACAAAAAGGGAAGTCTCAAATCTGAGACAGTAAAATATGGTCGCAAGTGCCAAGGGACTCAGACCCGAGAAAGACTGAGCTGGCAAGGGCCAGCAACATGTACAAAAGACAGACCCATCCTCTTGTCTGAGAGGGTGCCTGACAAAAACAAGACTGTAACTGTCAAACAGTAATAAATATCTGGTAATGTCTCTTTCAGCTCAGACTTACAGAGCATGGAAATGAAGTGTAGTGGGAAGGCTGATGTTGATTCTGCTCTTGGGTCTACACACTATGTGGCAGTGTTAAGTGCTGCTAACACTTCAAAGGTACATGCTACCATCATACTCATGGCTGAAGTGAGTGCAGTTAGTTCATGCATATATGGGTTCTGGTCCAGGAGACCCATGGGAGAAATGGTGAGGGCTGGTGGCCTGTCTGTGCCAACATGAACACTGGACACAGAAATTTTATCAAAAACCCTTCTAAGAGCCATCGTGTGCACCAAAAATACACCAAAAACTGGTGTCCCCAATTGATTAAGCAGAGAATTGCTGAACCCCCCCAAATGTGGCCTGACTATCAACTGGTGTGGAAGGTGACAATTAGACCCCTGCTGTTCATGGGTGGCTAAGTGCAGCTGTTCCTTGTTCTACTGTGAGTTTGGTTGTGGCATCCCCTCTGCTGCTTAAGGATGTGGATGATCTTCCTGGTAGGACTTAATTGGTAGCCCCTTCTCTAGTGAAAGTCTGGTGAAAGCTAATTTCTCTGGCTCCACACATAACTGCTGGTGTAGTGAGACAGCAACTCCTATAGATGTCTACATCCAAGAGTGGCAGATGATCTCCTGTGCCTTCATAAACTGAATGTTTGGGTGGATGATGATTAGGTGGCAAAGAAGGATGCTCAGTTCATGTGAACTATGGCACCAAATGACAAAGGTATCTTCAAAATACCTGAACCAACAGCTAGGTTTTTTAAAGGCCAGTGTCCATGCCCTGAAGTACTCCATATAATAGTTTGCTGACAGTGAACAGAAGTGACCACATGGCTACTCAATCCTTCTGCTCATTAGAACAGCTGTCAAGCAGAAATAATAATGATGTAAGCTCTGACTGGGAGGGACTACTGATGTCTCTGTTGAACTGCTGTTCCACAAAGTACAATGTTTCCTTGAGAGGAACAAAGGTAAAACGTGATATCACATCAAAGTTGACCATGATGACTTCTGGGCTGACTGCCACTGAGCTGGTGGTCTGAATGAAATCACTGGAGTTCTTGACATGGTGTAACATATTTCATACCGATGGTATGATAGTTTTCTGAAATGTTTTGATAGATGATAAGTTGGTATCCCAATCACATCCCCTGTAAATCTTACTGGCATTCCTTCCTTGTGATCTTGGGGAGTCCTTATAGTCTGCGGGGAAGGGGACCATTGTGACCAAGGATGGTGTACCTTCTTCATTTCTGCATCCACTGTTATCTCTGGCATCTGTTAAGTGCTGGACAATGTTCCTGTTGGCCTGGACCACACACTAACCCCCACTCTTTCCCCCCATGTGTCTGTAAGACCAAAACCTATATATATACATGGAGACTCACTCACCTTACTCACTTTATCCCTTAAGATGGAGGCAGCATGTGTACCTCTCAAATACCAGTAACATTATCCACATCCACATGTTGTAACGACCCACGAACAGAATCAACATCAACAATGATCCATGAGTGCCTAAAATCAGTTATCTGGCATATGTCTGTCCATCTGCCTGCACATTTTGTCTCCAAGACAACCAATTTCATTTTTCAATTTAATATAACACAGAAAGTTGCCAAAAAAAAATGTAATTCTGATTCATAATCATTAAATACAAACTCCACTTTACATGAGGCACAAACTCGGTTTTTCTAAGGAACAGTTAGATCTAAAACATCTGTCAAAATGGTGAACATTTAACATAATGCTGCAAATTGTTTCTGGTTACAGACAGCATGAACAGCTTTGCTACAGTTACATTTAAATGTCACAAAACTTGTGTATTTCACTGGGATTGGTTTCAATAAGTGTGAGTACTTGATCTAGATTGGAAAACATGAAGGTATCTAGAATTTGGTCGATTTAATTCTGGTTTGATTTTAAGCTTTAGATTGGAATTGCTGTTTGATGTGTTGACAGCATCATACAGCCAATGAAGCTGCTGATTACTAATCCACCAAACAACAAAACATTTACAAAGACAAAAACAACACCGTCCAGTGTGACTATTTAAGTTTTATCACTTGAAAACTCATCACCCTTGCATGTTTTGATCCCTACGGATCATCCTCAGAGGATGATATAATTTGATGTAATATAATGATGTATATAATTTAAAACCTATTGTAATAATAGTTTCCGGAAAAAGTATTGATGCCCTCTGAGGATGATCCATAGGGATCGAAACATGTAAGGGTGATGAGTTTTCAAGTGATAAAACTTAAATAGTCACACTGGACAGTGTTGTTTTTGTCTTTGTAATTGTTAGTGTGACGGACCAGAATGAAACAAATCAAACATAACATTTTTTTACCTTTCCAAATAATTTTATAGCCGTTTGTGTGTCTATTTTTAATTCAATTCATTCTCAAAGTGTCATTATGGATGGACATGTGAACTGTTACTAACTAGATTTGGAAATCTTAACCAGTATAAAGACTCATAATATGGGGAGAAAAACCGTAGAATTTACAATTTTTACCTGTTGGAAGAAAATCGCCCAAGAGTCGATCACCTGATTCCAACTGTAGACCTACAACAACAGCAGTTTCCTCTCGCATTTTCTGTGCTGCTACCATCTCAAGCTGTGCATTGTTCGGCAGCCCAGAAAACCGTATAATGGAAGTTGTGTCGAGAACATGGTTATGATGCCTACATTTTAAAGGAAAAATATTAACAGTTATTGAAATTCGTTTGACAGCTTACTAAACATTATATAAATCTAGAGTAATTTATAACGCATGGTATTCTGAAACGCAATACTCACTTAATATCATATTCTTCCTGATTTAAACCCTGTTTCCTACACACTTCTTCCAGCACCTAGTTAGAAAGAGGTTATGGAACACATGAAAAATTATAAACTGCACAAACCGTTAAGTATCATATACTTATCAGTATCAATTATGGTCACACTGCAATTTTCACACCTGCAAAATAGTCGTATTTGGTGTAACTTTCACAGTTTGTCTTCGACCATTTGGAGCTAGCACAACCACATACTTATTCTCTGCCATGACTGATCAGTACGCATATGTTAACTTAAGTTAGTGCTATGATAGCATACCTTCTTATCAACCGAGCTCTCGGTACTGGCTCTTCGTAGCAATTGACTTTCAGAGGAATATAGATGGTAGTATTAATACTCTCGTGACGTCATAATGACAATAGTGTCACACAATAATTTGTTGCTACAGGTCAAATAGGATCGGTTAGGATCGTTAGGATGGAGGAGGCCCATGTAGAAATGGGAAGGAATGGAAATTCCAATAATCAAGGTGAAGCGAAGGCTGCAACTTATTTACCTGGGCAGCCGCTTAAAGAAGACGAAGAACTTGTATATGATGAGTCTGTATACGTGATGCTTCATGAAGTTCATACAGGTAAGAATGCAACTCCACGTGGTTAGGGCTATTACATTAATGTCGCAAATAACCAGAAATACGGAGCGGTCGTAGCTTAGTTGGTATAACGACTGGCTACGGGTTCGATGACCGAGGAATCGGGGTTCGTTTCCCAGGAGCGGTAGGACGAACTCCAGGGTCCACCCAGCCTCTTATCCTATGCTTGCCGGAGGTGAAGTCGGGGCGTGAATCTGACTATTCACTTCCATTTAGTGCCGAGGTTAAGAATGCATTAATCCATACATCTGCCCCCACCCCCGTATGTCTACCCGCTCAGTGCTGAAGTAACGAAGTACAAGGGCGACTTTGCTGTAACCAAAAATAATTGTTGAGACTTCACATATTGCACCATATGCGTATGCGAGAAAATTGATACAACTTTCAAGTTATTACATCCAACTATAATATCCGTATTTATTTTATGTGCGAGTACACCTAGACTTAGGCAATAGTTATGTTCTGAAAAAGTTTCAGAAGATGAAAAGAAATCAATTTCCCCTCGAGAGATCTACTGCCAAAAGTACCATTTCTTAAACTGGTCGCCTTGTGCAACACAGTACGAGTATATGCATTTTCTTATGTCAATAATATTTATGTCATTTCAGTATGACGAATTTGGGTGTGTAGTTAGTTACTTTTAAAAAGACTGCTAAGAAATTGAATGGTATAATAACCTTGAAATGTTTGCTGAAAACATATGTTACTGATTCAAAACAAATTGCCCAGTTCTGAGACAGACCACCTTGCCCCCCTCTTTCTGTCTTTTTCTCCGCATGTCTCATTTCAGACATTAAGAAACATTTCAGTGGGATGTAGTTTGTCGTCATCATCATCATCATCATCATCATCTTCATGGATTATCCATATCTGTTCCATTTTCTTGAAATGTATGTTGATCCCTCTTTCACTTTTACACTTATCATGTCACAATTGATCCTTCTGGAGTCGCTTCTTGACTTCACTTGGCGAATGCTAGACTTCAACTCTCTTCAACGGCGGCTATCTCGAGACTGAATCAGCGAATGCATTCAACCCCCTTATGTAGGCGGGTTCCGGACCGGATAAAACGCATTATTTTCAGCAGTTTGGTTCCTGCTGTTTTGACCATCTGTTTTTATGCAACAAACCTTCCATCTCTGGGGGAAACTCATTTGTTGATTCTGCAATTCCTACGCAACGGTCCACTGTTATTGCATTACCATGGAAGTATCTATTCCAAACACGTTACAGTATTAATAAAGAAATAATAAAAGTTAACACTCACCAATCACATGGCAAGTGACTTGCCAAATGGATGATGAATGAGTCATTGAGGTGTGTGGAGAGACGGTTGAAAACAATGAAGCAGATGATTGCAGTAACAGAGAAGGGGATGAAATTGATTGAAAAAAGTTAGGCCATTGAAGTTGGTTGTAACATTTCACTGGATGTGCTAGCCAATACTGCACAGCTTCAGTTGGTGCTCAGTCTGTTACGTATCTTCCAACAGTAGATGTGCAGAATAGGCTGCGCAGGTTGGCAATATTTTCCATTCTCCTGTTGCACTCCTCTGTCACCCAACCAGTATTCTTGCTGACCTCCCAACCTCTGTTGACCGCTCAGCAGCCAGTTTCCCATTGAAGTGAGTGCTGTTAATTTAAATTGGTCTAAATTACACACAGAATTACTGGTTTTTTTTTTTCCATCTGGAATTCTAGGTGATAGAGGACACAGCGTTTCAGAAACTGGATCTGTTTCCGTCTTCAGGTGAGAATGGAAGACACATACTCAGTTGGGCCCCTTAGAAAAAGCTAATCTCAATCACTGGACTCTTTAGCTCTCTGTAAGGGGCCCAACTAAGTAGGTGTCTTCCTTTCTCACATGAAGACGGAAACAGATCCAGTTTCCGAAATGCTGTGTCTTCTGTTATCTAGAATTCCGAATGATGGAAAAAGTTCAAAACCTGGTTATTCTGTGTGTCATCCACCATCGCGAGAACCCTTTAGAATCTGGTCTAAATTAGTTGATAACATTAAATTATATCACATTTGTTATAAGAACCATCTTGAACCCTCGCACTCCTATTAAATTAGTTACACTTGATGGATTATTACTTGTTTATGTATGAAATCACATTTTCCTAACTCGCCTGTGACATGAAATGCTTGTACATGTTTCAGGATCTCCTTGCCTTAGTTTTGATGTTATTCTGGATGGTCTTGGGGCTGCCAGAGAATTGCATCCACTGTGTGCCTATGTCGTAGCCGGAACTCAGGCTGCCCGAACCCATACAAATAACATATTGGTAATGAAGGTGAGGAAGAACCTTTTTCTCTGCAGTGTATTGTGACTAGTTGTGGTAGGTACATTAGAATTATTTGGTAGGGCTAGTAACCTTCCATAAAACAGACATTCCGTGACTGGTGACATGGATTTGGTAGCCTGAAGTGGCTTTTGTTAGAACTAAGAACCAAATATATGTCCAATAAGTGGAAAGTATGTATATGGTCACTGCATTATAAAATTGTTACAAGAGTTACATAGCTGTACTGTTCTTAAATGCTCCAAGTAAGAAAGAAGGAGCCAGGATAGAGCTGGTGAGCATGTAAGGCTGACCTCACCTCACTGCCATCTGTGAGCCAGTTGTCTAGAAAATGTCGGAGGCTCGGCATCTGACAACCCTATGGGCCTCCATAGCCTGTTACAGGGATAGATTCCCCCATTTTTTGTGGTTTATTTAATGATGCTGTCATATCTGAGGTTGCAATGTAATTTGAGTTATTATACAAGGTGTGGCTGGAGGGACTGAGTCAAACCACAAACCCTCAGTCAGGATAATTGGTTTCCTGGCTGAGGTTCAAACCATATATTTCCTGAATGTAAGTGAGAAGCATTACTTCACTGCCATCTGTGAGCCTGTTCTCCAGAAGATGTGGGAGCATCGACCTTTCGCAACCCTATTGGCCTTCACGTCTTGTTACCTTTACCGTTTAGTGAGAAGCATTACTGCTTGCTTGGGGATTTGCATCAATTTAACCTCAAGTACACTCTGAAACATGATGGTCAGCACAAGTCTCATAAAGCACAATGATCTTGTGGACACAAGAAAATGTTTTCATAAATTAATAGTACAGTCAACTCTCGATTATCCGGGCTAATGGTGGGGATGGAAGTCACGGTTAATCGAAAACCCGGTTAAGCCAAATTTTATTATACGGGCTGGACGACTGTGAAGGGTCGGAGTTCGAGTCCCGGTAGGGTCAAGAATTTTAACTTCTCCAAATCGTCCAGACCGGCTCTGGGGTCCATCCAACCTCCTATCCAATGGGTACCGGGGGCTCTTTCCCCGGGGGTAAAGCGGCCGGGGCGTGAAGCTGACCACTCACCTCCAACTAGTGCCGAGGTCAAGAAAATTTGGATCTATACATCCACTCCCCCACACGCCTTAATGGCGTAGGGCTTAATTCGTTGAGCAGAGGAACAACTTTACCTTTTACCTTTTAATACCTTCATAATACTATAGACCTACCTGTATTTAAATTTATTCATCCTCATTTCTATGTCATCTCATGGCCTATTTAATACTTTCTTTACATTACACTCAGTATGAATTAGTTATTTCAATCACTGTTCAACAACATCCAGCACTTTTTACGGTCACACTTAACACTTAAAATAATTTAATACTGTCTTTTGCTTTTTCGCGGCATTTTCCTTTTTACGGATATCCGTACGAAGCCTACGTAATATTAGCTTGTCACTTAATAAACTGTCCTCTTCACTCTCAAGATAGTCTAGTAAGGATTCCAAATGATTAAGCGCAGCACCATGTGATACTTTCTTACTGGCAACACTGTCCACCTCTTCCTCATTCTCACTTTCTTCCCGCTCTTCTGGCTGCACCCCCATTGAAGTTACGATTTCGTCACTGCTTAACATTTCGAAGCCCGGTTCACACGAGTCACAGTTAAACCACTCTCTTATATTTTCCTCGTTGACTTCTTCACCACCATGAACTTGGTTAGCCACTTTTGTCAATTTTATGGCTATCTCATTTTCACTGAATCCAGTGAATCCATGGATTTCGTCATCTTCATTAGTGATGAAAGGCATCAGTTTCTTCCATGAATTTTTCAATACAGATGGCTTTACTGTATCCCACGCTGTTGAAATCTCGTATATGGCATCTAATACTGAAAAGGACTTCCAGAAACACGTCAGATCATTGCCTTCATCGATGTACTTTTGTAGCAAATTTGATCTGTAGATTCTCTTCATACTTGAGATAACTCCTTGATCCATTGGTTGGATAAGTGCGGTAACATTAGCGGGAAAATATTTCACAAAAATATTTCCATCATCTGACCTCAGGAGACTTTCGTTAGGATGTGAGGGCGCATTGTCAATGAGGAGCACAGCTTTCTCAGGTAGGCCTTGGGATTTTAGATGGTCACGAACTTGAGGCACGAATTTAAAATCAAACCATTCTTTAAATATCGCTCTATTCATCCAAGCTACTTTCTGGTTAAAATAATGGATAGGCAGACTTGAAGCTACTGTTCCTTTAAAAGAGCGTGGTCTTTTCGCTTTGCCGATAACTACTGGTATTAGTTTGTGTGTTCCTGATGCATTAGAACAGCACAAGACTGTCAATCTCTCCTTACTGGATTTGTGACCTGGAGCCTGTCTTTCATTTTGAAATGCCAATGTTCTGGTTGGCAAGCATTTCCAATAAAGACCCGTTTCATCGGCATTATAGATTTGTTCTGGCAGCAGATTTTCACTTTTCACAAAACTATCAAAATTGGTGCAAAATTGATCTGATGCTGACAAGTCCCCTGACAATTTCTCACCTTGAATACTGATTTCTCGTATTCCATGACGCTGCTTGAAACGTGTTAGCCAACCGGAAGAAGCGTCAAAACTCCCTTCTAGTTCAAGTGCTTCGAAAAAATATTTAGCTTGTTTAGCACAAACTGGTCCTGTTATTGTTGTTCCCTGTGCCCTTAGTTGATTAAACCAGGTCAGCATCGCTTTGTCGAGATCATCGTATGTTGATTTCTTCATGGTTTTTCTCTTCTTCATTCCGCTTGAATTAGAAGACGAAGCAAAGGAAATTAACTCATTCTTTTGTTTTTTCAAATCACGAACAGTTTGTTCTCCAATACCGTATTGCATTGCTAATTGTTTAACTACAGCTCCTTTTTCCAGCTGATTGATAATTTCAAGTTTCTGTTGAATACTTAACACAACACGCTTCCTTTTAAACCCCGACATTTTGCTAACGCACTTGAAGATCTATATTAAGAAACTGATACTTACTTTCACAATGCACTCTCACACTGAGATGGTACCGTTAAATAACCTGGGGCGGTGTATTTGTCCTTGAAACTTTCCAAAAATTCTTGCATTCTTTCACCCCCACCCTAGAACATTGTGTTCGCATAACGGGACGAAATAATGCAGAGCTCGGTTCACACTAGTGCGAAAATAGTGTTAAACTCACCATGTGAAACAAAAGTGAATGAATATTAAACAACATATAAACTTAAAAAAAAAAGCCCCGGTTAAGCCGCAAACCGGTTAATCCGCCCCCGGATAATCGAGAGTTGACTGTAATTTGCATTCTAGCCAATTGTCTTGGTTAGTTAATTGCTAAAGGATGAAAGCTGGGGGCCTGGCAGGTGTATGAAAAATTGTTGTGGTATTTACGAGGTTTTAGAATTCTTTTCTAGAGTGCGTGTTATGATTATGATGTGAATTTCATGTTCTTTTAGTTTCCGTGAGATAGTGTTTGGTTTACCATTTCCATGATTATGTAATATGGTATTGTTAGTCTTTGTCTCATTTTGAAAAATGAATATAATTTGTTAGATTTGAAGTTCTCACAGCAGTGATTATGAAGAGTCCTGTCATGTGGGATATAATGCCTTGTAGTCTGTTGTAAGTCAACTGACTTTTTTTTTGACCCTGAATATGGAGGCGACATATTTATCCAAACACAGGCTGACTTCAGTGCACCACATCGTGATATATTCTAGAAGTTAGGACTCTTCACTTATAATTCGAATCTAAAATATTAATGATAATGTCATTATAGATGTCAAATATGCATAAGACGCAAAAAGAGAAAAAGGAAGATGAAAGTGATGAAGGCAGTGACGATGATGATGATGACGATGACGATGAGGAAGCTCAGAATAAAACTCCACATCTCGAATGCGCTCGAATTAAACACCAGGGTTGTGTAAATAGGATACGTGTAAGTATTTTGTGCTGCTGTTTGTAAAATAGTTCAGTGCATGTTTATTTCAGCATTACTAGTATAAATATCTTTTAAGAAAAGGACTTCTATATGATTTGGAAAAAACTTGACCCTAATGGAGGGCACTAAAATATATTTGTATAGGTTGTACAAGAACATGGATAACAGTTCGACAATTAGGGCCTTTGGAATTTTGCTATATAAAGGGTTTCAGATACATTAGGACTGCTGTTTAATGTTCTATTTCAGTATTTCCAGGTCAGAAGTCTCCTCCAGTGATTTCCATGGGATCATGTTTCTTTGTGAAGGGGTTGAATATATGAATGAATGAATGAATGAATGTATAAGGGGTGGGCCTTCTCGGCCCTTGCACCGTGACCTACAGTGATCTTTTGTGCTCTTGTGAAGGGGTTACTAAGTAATGACTGCATATACTTGCTTATTAAGAATCTGTTTCCTAGCAGTGAATGTTTTGTTTGTTTTGTGGTTGTTACATAGCAACGGGTCTGCACACTACAGTATGGATAAAGAATTTTTATGTAAATATTATAGATTAGTTTCTAGGCGTACAAAATATAAATCTGAAGACACTAGGCAGCTTAACAGCATCTTGTGCTAGTGAATTATGGGCACTGAGAGTAACTGATGAGAGAAGATACATATCAGAAGAAATACATTTCGTGAATAGAACTGTGGGATATATCCTTAGCACCATAAAAAAATGAATTAATGATAAGAGAACTACAATATTTCACATAAAATAAAAGGAAAAACAGTATTGGTAGAAAAATACAGATGAACAGTGCATTGACAGAATTAGCTCTCACACAATTCCGGAAAAGGTCTTTGATGTTCAGTTTCTTGAGCCAGTAATCACATTGTATTTCCTTCATTTAAGCATCACTGTATTTCGTTTTAGTGAAATCTAATTTGGTTTCTTGTATTGACTGTTAGGCCATAAATTACAACGATACCATTTTGGCAGCAACATGGTCTGAATTAGGACGAGTACATATATGGAATTTAACAGAACCTTTGCGTGCTGTTGATGAAAAAGTGGCCATGGATCGTTATAAAAATGGTGTAGTACCAGTTCCAATTTTTACATTTTCTGGCCACCAAACAGAAGGATTTGGAATGGATTGGTGTCCTACTATGTCAGGTAATAAAATGATTATGTTGAAATCCAAGTGATCTGTTTGTTCGTAAATTAGAAAGACAGTACGAGGGCCTGTCAGATGTGCTGATGAGTAGGGAAAAGGATAAAATTGTGGTATTCTTAGGGTTGGAGAAGAGCACAGTCATAATGATCACCACTGTGAAAAGCTCAGTAAATTTTTATTGTTACAGACTTTGGTAAAATATTTTTTTGAGCTAGAGAAAACTTGAAATGCTACTTCTAATAATTATTTTAGTCTTTTAGCTGAGGTAAGATTTCACCTGACTATAAGATGATTCCCTTTTCCAGTCACAAATTTCAAGAAAGAATTTTATTTGTAAGATTTGAGGCTTTCATGGCGGTGACTATGAAGAAAGCAGTCTTCTGGGATTTGGCACCGTGTATATGTGGTGTTAACCGACGTTTCGGAGGAACGTATCGCCTCCATCTTCAGGGTAGAAGAAAAATATAAGAAATCCACAAGCGAAGAGACCGTGAGAACCGGTAAAACGTCAGTTAACACCACATATACACGGTGCCAAATCCCAGGAGACTGCTTTCTTCAAGAATTTTATTTCTTTTCATTTAAAATTACTCAGTACGTTTCTCCTTTAAGAACTCAACTTTACTCCACCTCTTCATAGTGACCCATTTTAGGTTCACAGAATAATTTTGTGGTGGAACTTGCACCTGGTAACAAGCTTTTATTATTGCATTGCTGCATGTTGCTCTTAGAAATGCTGGATGCCCTAAGTGCAGTGCAGTTTATAGTGTGTTTGCTGATCTGATAACCATTAATTTAAGATTGGCGTCATATCCAGTTCATGGAGAAGGAGAAATCTGCATAGCAGGAGTCCATTTTGGTTCCACCTGGTCTTCTTTGTTTATTTTGCCAGGATTTATTTATGTGTTGTCTAATAGACACAGGTACTATAAATTCTAAAATATCAGTCCTTTTAATATGAAGGACACCCTGTATTTAAAAATGTACAATATTAGCCTTAATACATATCCAGATCATTACTGAGATGATTCAAAATTCAGTTCGTATTCTACAAGAATGACATAATTGTTATCGCATCCAGAAAGCTCTGTCGAATGAGCCTTATAGTGTTGCCATCTTCTTAAAAACATAATAAGCATGTGCAGCAGCTGTCACACATGCTGGAGAAATAGTGTGTAATGAACACTTTACAGCACTGAGCCTGGAAGTTTTCAGAGATGTATGCAGCAGGAGCAGAAGTAATATTATAAATACAGAATCATGTGTGATGGATGTTTCATCATTATGAAATGTCTGACTCTGAGACCCACCCAGTCTTCTGTTCAGAGGGCACCAGGGGTTCTTTTCCAGGAGTAAAGGCTGGAGTGTGAAGCTAACCACTCACTTCCATTGAGTGCTGAGGTCAAGAAAGGTGGAGCTATACCTCCGCTCCCCTATATGTCTTCATGGCATAATGCTGAACTAATTAAGCACAGGGACAAGTGTACTCTTTACCTTAAAAGCATAGTCACAGCTCAAGAAATACCAAACTAGGTAGGTTGTCTGTAATTATGGTAGTCCAACATTTGTAGCTTTGAAGAGTTCTGTCTTTTTGGATATAGAACCACATAGTCTGTTCAAAGTAAACTGACATCTTGGGAGAGCATGTATCCTCCATTGTCAGGGCTGAAGGGTAAGTCAAAGAATCAGTATGAAGTGGGCAGCAGAAGCTAGAAGTATTCATAATATTTGCTGGGTGAGCCTCAAATCCTGTGTCATTATGGCTGTTTAAATGTGTGATTATTGTGTAGGTATTGTTGTAAACTGCAGTTGTTAGATATTGTTTTCTCATAAATTGTTGAATTAGGTTTATTTACAATGCATTTGATTTATTCCTAGTGCAATCCAAATTATTGAATAAAAATATATAGTGAAAATAACTTTGTTTCATAGTTCGCTAAACATGGAACGTTGGCAACATGTAGTCTGGATACTGACAGGCAAAATATAACAGAAAATGCAGAATGTATCTCTGAAGTTATTTTCATTTACCTGCCTACCTACCACTTGGCACTACAGCCCTGGGTGAGCCTTGGCCTCCTCTACAACCGGTCTCCACAACCATAGGAATGCACCCACTCATGATGACCTGTGGCTGGTTGTTAGGTTTCTGAACAAAATTCTTTTACAGGGTGAGGTTGTTAGCCTCATGCCCAACTCCCAACCCAGAGGACCAGTGTATCTTTCTTAGTCTTAGTCTTAGTCTGCCCTTTGACCTTTCTGGCATGGGTGACCCTATTGGTAGTTAAAGTACCACTGGCATAGCTCTCCAGGTCACAGAGTCACGCAAGCCCTACCACCACGATGAGGTGGAGACACCTTTGGGGTGTTATTTTCTATTAAGAGATCGTAATTGTTTTACAAGACACTAAACATGTACAGGAGTGCTTGCTACTGGAGACTGCAAACGGAACATCCATATATGGAATCCTGCAAGCGGAGGAAGCTGGCATGTTGATCAGAGGCCTCTGATAGGACATACTGACTCTGTTGAAGACTTGCAGTGGTCACCAAATGAAAGGAGTGTTTTGGCATCCTGTTCTGTTGATAAGAGGTGAATATAAAAGTATCTGTCTGAGACAGTTTTGAAGAAATAGTGTGGAAAATAGTAAGCCTTGTAATTTGTTTCTAACTATTCATTGTTTAAAGGTACTTAATGATGTAATGAGCTGTGTTTGGAATGTAACCAGAAATACATGTAAATTGTTAGTTGTTGTTGTCCAGTTTTAAGGAAAACTGGAATATGTAAGCAGATGTGAGTAAAGTTCTACAATTGAAAATTTAATCAAAATCAGTATATTGTTCTCAGGTGGTCTTCATGCGTACAGATCGATGAACAGACAGTGATGTTGGTAGGCATGCTACAAGGTTGTGAAAATTTCTGAAAAGTACAACTTAAGGTTCATTCTCAATTGTGAAAACAAGGCAGCTTTTTCAGAAGCTGGAAGGGGTCACACTTGGGCATCATGGAAATCTCTTAACCATACATTTTTTCCCTTAAGAAATGAAATTAGCCTTAGAATTAAGAGAAAGATAACAAAAAATTATTTCATTATGCAAAAAGTATGATCTTGTATATTTCCACATTTATTGGTTCTGCCTGTTTTTAAGATTCAAATTTCTCTTAGAACTGGTTTAGAAAGCTCCTGCACATTTCACATGTATTGATATGTGCAGCTGCACTGAATGGGAACGTGCATGATTATAACTTGGTGTGTTTCCTGTTTCAGACAACCTGCCTTGATATGCCCAAACTGAAATATATATCTGTGCCTGTGTGTGTGTGTGTGTGTGTGTGTGGGGTTAAATAGTAATACTTTTTAAGTGTGTATGGGAAGACCAAATATGTGCACCTGAGCCCTGACTCTTGTTACCATTATTACTTGAATGTTGACCTTGAAGTACATGTAGAGAAACATGGAACCTCTATATGTTACTGATAACACTAATGTTGGCCCTGTCACACTTTTTCTTGATACACACGTTTAAGATAACCCTTGGTTGTTTTTTTTTTTTTCAGCTGGGGTAGTTCAGGCATTATAGTGAGTAGACTATTATCTGGATGACTGGGGTTTGATTCCTGGCAGTAACAGAGAGTTTTCTCTTTACCATTGAGTCCAGACCAACTCTAGAACTTAATGCAGTTTCTTATATGGTGGGTACCAGGGCTAAAGTGGCCAATACATGAAGCTGACAACTCATCTCTAAGTAGTGCTGGAGGTAAGAATGCATAGAGATAGACCTCCACTCCCCCATGTCTGTTCATGGCATGATGATTAATTAAACAACTTCAACTTTACCTTTGGTTTCTTTTTCAGATACACAGGTAGAAATACATGTCTTAGATTCAGCTCAATGCTGTGCTGAGTGTGTATGATTCAATGAATAATTAAACTTTCTTCTACAGACCTGGACTTTGTTTTACAATCTCAGTGTTGCATTTTGTATGTTATTTATCATATAAGAAGGGGGGCACACAGTAGTGTAGCTGGTTGAGGCACTGTGCTAAGCTATACTGGAAGGTTTGAGTCCTGATGAGGTGGATTTTTT